CCGCAACCAAAGCCGCTCTTCATTACTGCAAGCAATAAAAGATTTGAACATCCATACGTTATCTTGAAGAACCAAAGAAGAAGAAAGAAAAGACATTCTGACAGATATGGACGCAGCTCTGCTTGGGGTAGGCATTTTTCACTTTCGCCGTTTACCATTGTCGTTAGAGTGATAAAAAGTTTTGTAGAGATCACTTGTAACCTTTTGTAAATAATACCTTGTCAAGTCTTGCAAAGTAGTGAACATGACGAAGGGGAAGTAGCGAGCGTGCAAAATGCCTCCCCCCAAGCCGAACTGCGCCCAAAAACAACAATTTTGAATTAGCTGCATAAAGTGGAAGAGGTAGGGTTTTAACAGAAGGCGCTGCTTATCCCGCTCATTTCCAAGGCAAAACCCTGTACTCGATCCTGTTCGCACCAATCAAACTTCCAGCACCCATGAGGCTGACAAAGTGTTCTATAAAAAGTAACCGGTTGGGAGAATTAGACAGCAACACCAATTTTTCACTTCCGCATCTTTTCTTCAGGATTCTTCTGCAGTAGCGCCTGTGCAGCTGATAGTTGATAAGAAATTCTATAAACCAATCTATTGACGAGCGAGCCTTGGCTGACCCCAGCAAGTTTAATGTACAGGCCGAAACGTATTCAGATGCAGGTTTTTTTTGAGTGGGACTACCAAATGCTAAGAACACTGCTCGGAAAAGTGCAGCGGCTTCTCACTGCGATTCTCTCGAACAGCTGCACACTTGAGAGCGCATTACCGGCGTTATCACTGAAATCAGGCAGGGACGTGCCGGCCGCCTTTCCTTCGACTGTTGCAGTTTCGGAGGCTCAACGAGTGGCAAAGGAGGGGCCGACTCCGCGCCGAAACCCACGCCCCGCTGATACGCCTGACTACAGTGTAACGAGTACACTTGTTATCTCCAAGATGGAGTAGGCGTGGCACTTGAACATGGCGGAGAATGGGCTACTAGTGGAATATTCCTCTTTGAGACAACACACAGGCACTGCCATGTATAGTCAAAGTGCGCAGCCACGCCCACCACATATCAGGGATTTCGAGTGTACACACTAATCGTGTGTGGTCATAGTGATAAGGTCCCCCAAGGTGGTAAAGTAAACACGCATCCATGAGAAAGGCACAGCACTAGGCTGAGCCCTACACGACCCAAGGTGAAAAGGATATAAAAGACGCGCTCAACCTCACCTGACCAAACATCTTCTTCATCTTCTCTTCATGCTCTCTTGCCTCCTTCTGAAAAAAAAACACATTGAGTCGCGCGGTAACTCTTCTCTAACAGGACATGGACACCTCAATTTTGATTAGATCCATCCACAATCAGGAAGGATTGAAATAGACGTGAATCAAAAAAGCACTACAAAAGCAGACTCAGATATTGAAAAAAAAATCTGTTTCACCCAGTTGCAGACAAGTGATGAATGAAAAGAGTGAGAGATGACAGAAAGAAGAGATTAACGTCTTTGGGAAGTGTATAGCGCATATCGCGCCAAGTCGGGGTGTGTCAGGGGCGTGAATGCGTAGGAGGACGGCGGCTGCTTTTCTATTCGACGGCTGACGACCTGATAGGAGCTACATTGGCTGGAAGGAGTACCACTCCATTTAAACTTACCCGAGGTGGCGCAATGGCTAATGGCACGGTAACCCGCGCGGTCTGGGATCAATCCCAGATCGAACTCCGCCCAAACCAAATAAGCCTCCCACCCTGGTGACGGTGAACTGGTACCAGATTCGTCTGGAAGTCTGAGAACACTGACTTGTACGTCATCAGGCCGCTGTACTCTATTGTGCACCACGGTAGGCCCCATCGCATCCCAAAAGCCTCTACGATTCTGTAAACGAGTTGAATGCGTGCCACATCCCAAACTCGATTGATTGACGGCGGCTCGATTGGAGCATTATCTAGAGTACTTCAGCACCGTCCATGTTCCCAGGAGACACGGGTAAGAGAATCGTAATTTGCGCAGCGGTGGGGATTGGAGCACCGGACTTTATGTGACCCTCGTCATCGAAGACACTCATGAATATTATCGGTTCCGAATAGCCCGTTGTCGCCATCTACTACCTGGAACCATCGTCATTTGTGGGCGCGACGTCGCCACAGACGCTCACTAGGGCGGTGAATAACGATTCTCTTGTCACATACCGTTTCCCAGTGACTTTTCATCCAGACCTAATTGCGGTAATGACTACTATTTAATGCCGAATTCACAGTTTGAAAGTTATTGAAGGCAAGTTATCTGAGGCATGATAAACTCAAGAAGGCGTATAGGTTCGAATGCGCCTACCACGACAGAATATTGTGGCGTTGCGTGGCACCTTTCCAACCAATGGCACAGTTATAGGGCGGGCCTAAACCAAGGGCGCAACGTCTAGACCAGATGCTCGCCGCGAGATGACGCGGCAGTGGCATGCGACGCTGGTGCTCTTATCTATCATTTATGAAGTACATGTGAAACGATGTTACATGGATATATGGATACATACGTGTGCCCGTGTCTATTGGAGTGGTTGTTGGGATGCCAACGGGAAACTCGTCCAAAAGTGGTTGTCCAGTGCAGTGCAGAATGAAGGCTTCTCGCAGGTTTTTGGCCGTTTGACTTCGCTTTTTCGTCATTTACCACTATATAGCCCCGTCACTATTTTTTGAGCCACTACCGAATTGCCCCGTATTATGCCTTCAAGCGGAAGCGTAAAGAGATGCGCATGCTTGTAAAGCGTGAAGTGCGGGTTCACGTCTCACCAAGGGGCGAAACACTGCCTTACCAAGTTACGCTCGCCAGATGGTTAGAAGAAAAGAGATGAAAGAGAGGACGAAATAGCGTCTCAAATTTGAAGAACAGAGTAGAGAGACCAGATCATACCTCAAGTCCATATTTCTTTGCCCATTCGATGACCTGTTCTCTTTTTTGAGGAAGTGGTACATTGTGTTGTTTGATGATGTCGAAAAATTCCTTACGAAGAGTCTCGTTGGCATTTTTCAAAAAATCTGGTAGCGGTGGTTTGCAGAGTTTACCCTGTGTAGAAGAACTTCAACGATCTCACTGAGGCGTCTCTTTCATATCCAGTATTGATTGCTACTAATTTGAATATTAATTAAACCGGAAAGATATGGTTTGTTAGAAGTAAAATATGTTGTACTCACCTGTTTCCTCATCTCCTGTATCATTTCTTCGTGCTTCTTGACCTCCTCCTGAAAATGCCTTTTAGAATGCGGAGTATATTTTTATCGGTAGCACAGAGAATCTTCAGTGTAGCTGGCCTACCAGCGAGATGCTGCGAATCCCTTTCCGACGACTTCAAGGCTCCTTTTTCGTCACAAACTCATGAGCATCCTTTCCGGAACCCTTTCATCTGGCGATTTGCATTTGCCAGGGAAGAGCCTCGCGAAAAACCGATCACTATGCGAAGAATCTGCCTGTCTTGCAAGGCTGTCGCTGCTCAGCCTTTACTACCCCATCCTTCGACATTGCGGCCAGGTTTTGATTGGAATTTTCTCTTGTGGGCATATTTAGCCAGTACTTTGTTCCTAGGGGTAGCCTGATCCTCCGAACACTAAGGTCACCGAGATTACTGTGAAAAAGCCTAATACCTGCGCCACGGGCAAGAATACAAAGTATATCAAATCCTATCAGAGGGCAGCAAGAGGCGTGACTAAATATTTAATGCAAAAATCTCTTTCTCTATACACGGGGTGGGGGAATAAACAAAACACTTCGGCGGTGATATTAGTTATCAAGTTTTCGCATGCAAGATACCAAGATAATCCTCGATTAGCAGGAGCACCCTCTCCCATCATCTTCACCGCAGTCGGCATGGCGCAGGTTGATGGTATGAACAAATGAGAAGACCGATTTTTTCTTTCTGAGCTCCGGATTGGAAGTGAGCGCTGACGGTTACATCGACCAGCTCGTGGAGTATATCCTGCCTTCATGTTATCGCCTGTACCTTCTTGGAGACTTCGTACTGCGACAGGATTAGGTGCCTCCACACGGAATCGAAGGGCGTTGGAAAAACTCTCGCCTACTTGGAACTGAAGGGCTTGAGTACCTTAAGAAGACGAATATTCAAGTGTATCACCTACCCCGAACCCCCTCGATTACCGGGTTTGGGCGGAGCTCGGTAGGGAGAAGTCAAGGACTTTGCTGAAGTCAGGCGCCGAATCGCAGTCGTGTAGCAGAATCTCGATGGTGTTCGTCCAGAGGCTGTGATGGAGTATCACGTTAGGTTGAATTTGGTGGCATAAATGTCCAATCAGAACTTAACGAAGTGTAACTTATATCGCCGTGAAAGTCCAGGGAAAAGGTGTCTCTTATTTGCCCCCCCCCGCCTTGATATACTTCGCCACCTCTCCTTTGCGAATACCCCCGCCACACTCATAGTCACTCCTCTTGCGTCCCTTAGATATGTAATGTACTTGTGAAGGTGACACTACTGGTGCGCATTTCAGGTAGTCTCGCTTCAATTAGGCTATATCATGTGCTGGGGAATGATTCCAGTGACAAAGTTTCAGTCGAACCTATCCTAGAATAAGAAGCTCTAATCAAGTCAGGCCAGGATAGAAAGGGCCCTGCGGAGGAGAGCGACCTCATAAGCCTTTATATCAAATAGTTCCCCTCTGTGTTGTTACTTGAAAACAAAAAAAAACTTACCGCGAATCCATGTTGCTGTCCCCAAGCGATGACTTTCTCTTTCTTCTGTTCCGGAGGTATGTCATGATTCTTGACGATGTCAAAGAATTCCTTGCGAGCGTTCTCGTCAACTTTATTGAGAAATTCTGGTTTTGGAGGATGTTCACACTTGGGCTGCTCTTGTCCAAAAATTACACAGAACACTGCCCAAGCAGCAAGAAGAACGGCAAGACCAGTGTTCATTCTTAAATGAAATTTAATCACAGTTGATAGCGTCGCTATCAGTCGGGGCGGTGGCAGATTGGGTGGGATGAGCCCGCCACTTTGCTCTATGAATGGTATTCGGTGTGTCGTTTCGAAAAGAAAGCAACCCTACTGAACCGCGGCTGGACTCATCCCAACCTTCTTAACACCGCCCTGACTGACTGTGACGATATCAGGAGCATAAAGACACATTCCTCGAAAATTCGTGGAAAACATTAGGGAGCAGAACTATATGACCTGGTTCATCTTGCAAAGAATATCGGGGAGGGACTGACGAAGCTTCTCAGGTAAGACTTAGCAAGCCAAGGGTCCTGCAGGGTGAAACATCCGTTGTGGGGGTCGTATCTGACTCGTCGAAAAGGATGGCGCGGGGCGGTAAGGGTTAAGGGGTCAGCAGTCAACAAAGGTGTGACACGAGTGCGGTACAGGAAAAGTCAAACGCAGCAAGTGAAGCCTGCATACGGACCACAGTATGCGAAAACACAAACTTCATATGAAGAGACTTTTATGGAAATTTTCCATTGAGTAGGCGTAGGAGATTCTCTAGTAGCCTGCTTTTGATTCGCCATGAGTCCTGCATTGTGGGAGTCATGGGTCCTAAAAGGTAAGACAAGCGTGCCCAACAAATTTTCATAGTTAGTTTTCATGCGAAGTTGGGGGACTTTTGTTGATACTAGCTCAGCATGCGCACCAATGCTGGCAGCTAAAAAAAGAAGTACTTTGTTCTCCAGAGGTTGAACTTTTCATCACCCTCCATTCTTTTGCTCAGTGAGAGCACAGGGGCCTCATCGACACCCGCTCTCCGAGAGGCGGGTGATACCAGCGGGCCAGTTTTCATTAACGATGCTTGACCCTGATTACAAGGACATCTGACCAGGCCAGCGAATTACCATAGAAGCGAGCAGAACGAGAACTGGTACCAAGTCACTGGCGCTTTGGCGGGGTTCACTTGAGCTATCCTGTGCTTTAACGCTCCCATTTTGGAACTTTATGGTACGGAACCGGTGTAAGATTGTCTGTTAGCACCACATATTCCGCGAAATGAAGTTTAGTTGTCAGTGCCATTCTCCTCGCCCCCCCCCCCCCCCGCCCCCGTCTCTAGGACTTAGGGACTGAAAGGCACTAAATGATGAACGGTAGTGGGTTTTGAAATACATTTCAGATTTATACATGTTGCTTATTCGAAGACTGCGCTGAAAGGTTGCAAACTTCGAGGCGCAGAACGTGCATCCAACTAGACAAGACCTGCATCCTCACCCTAGAGGAGGGCAGGGCGTGGCTGCGTACTCCATTTGAACACGCGCATTATGGTTTTTCGTAAAATATTTCCATTGGAGACGACTACCATCGTCTTGTGCTGGACAAAGGCGTGATCACAGTTGTCTGAAAACGGCAATATCCCATGAAGAGTGCAGCTACTGCCGTGTTGCAAGAAATATGTACGCAGACACGCCCTCCTCGTCCCTGGAATATGAAGTATAAGGAATCGCGAGCTACATCTAAAGGACACAGGAGAGTCCCGAGAAAGCGTGCCGTGCGAAGAGCCCTGCTTGAGTACATCGAGAAAAGAATCCACTAATCAACAGGTCATAAGGAATTTCAATCACAAAGGTGGCTCTGCTCAAAAGGAGAAATGCACATGATTTACCACCTGTGCTACCCTTTTATTCGACAATTATGATGCCGCTCTATGATCGATGAGTCACATAATTGCGAAAAAAATTGTTCACAATCCAATTTTAATGAAGACTGCTCGCAAACATGTTGCTGATCTATGAATCATAGAAGTTTAAAAAGAATCTCTGCAGACAGGAACTCATATGCCATAATCGGCTTGTTCCCTGATTGCGTGCAGAAAACAGCGCAATTCTTCTCGTGATGGATGGGGGGGGGACATTTTTATAAGCTCCCGTCAACATATAGAGCAATAACGCTATAATAACCGAGAAGTTATGCGGAGCGGTTGAGTTGTTGCAAGACGAGAGAATTATTATAGCGTTCATATAATTGCTCTATATCTTGTTTCTGTTGCGCCAAAAAGTGCCCGTTCAGGCTAAAATGTTCGCGATCGGCTAGAAATGAAACAAACGTTCATTTAACTTTACACTAGTCCCATCCTATCGCTTGGCATAGACAGATGACACGCAGCGGCAGTAAACTTTCTTCCTTGTAGGGCCACTAGGGTTGAGGTGAACGATAAAGCTCTGAGGGAAGCATTTACTCCCGTTCAGGAGGGTAACGGCTTCAACACGTTGACAACGAGCCATTTTCCCCATGACTTGCGTGTGGGACGGCACATTTTTCTTCGTTGAAACTTAGTAATTTCCAGATAAATGAATGACTACGATCGAAACGCGTCAAGAAAGTGTAAGTGACAAGCATTAGCTTTTATTGCTTCAGTATTCCAAAATCAGGCTATTTTTTTCAAGTTCTTCCTCTGGAGGCAGATTTGACTGAAAATTTGTTTTCCGGGGTAGTTTGACCTCCTAAAGACCATATCGCATCCCCTTGGCCCGCAAATGTTTGTTCTTGAACTAATTTCATGAAAAGAAAATAAAACAATCGCGCAGATTTTAATTTACATAATAACTCATTGGGTGAAGCCGTGTCCAAGATAAACTGGCTGTCATTCACCGTTGATGGAAACCGTCATCAAAGCGTCAAGTGGATATGATCAAGGGCTCGAACTAGCCTAGGAGACATGTTTTCAGCGAATTCGATGATCTAGGACATTTTGGCGCCGGCGCCTGTGGCACGGGCGCCAGGCGGTTTCGTGGCAAACGATTGTGATATTCGTGTTCACGGGGTCAAGCTGCCCCAGGAGACAAGTTTTCAGCGAATTTGGTGATTTATGGTGTTTTGGCGCCGGCGCCTGTGGCTCGGGCGACAAAACACCATGAATCACCAAATTCGCTGAACGCTTGTTTCCTGGGGCAGTTCGTGCTAAGCGACTGTGGTCGCTACAGAGGGACAAGCTACCCCCAGGGATAAGTTTCCAGCAACTTGGCTGTTCGTACATCTTTATTATTAGAACAATACAGTGGCAGACACCATTGTCTGCCATCGTCGTCAACGTGTTAAAGTGCGATGTGACTTACGATGTGACTTATACAATGACAGGCTGGAGCGAGCTGATTTACAGGTCAGTGTTCTCTTCCCACACACATCTGGCGTCGATTTACCGTTTGTGAAAGGGATAAGGCTTGGTTGGCTTTGACGGGAACTGATCCGAGCTTTGACTTCCGAATAAAGCGTGGTAAGCGTCCGAAGTCGGTGCTCCGGCTCCGGCTACACTGACGCGTGGTCAGGCACACGCCTGAGCATAGCCAAACGGGCTTCATATCTGCGCCCTCGTACTTCTAGTTGTTCTTTACTACTGCGTATTCGCTGCGGAATTTCGGTATCAGTACAAGTGCTGCACTCCAAGGACAGCGCGGGTGCAGTCTCAAAGGAACGGTTTGCGATGACCTATGAAAATGCAAGAGGTTATGTGGGAAGGTAGTGCGGTTAGTGGACAACCCTGTGCCAGTTTCGCGGCGGAAAGTTGTACGGTAAAGGAATTAAGGCGCAAAGTTGCTTCAGTGGTACATCCCTTTTTCCAGTGACTCCGCCTCCAGACTCCGCCTCCAAAGTCGGCCTTCCAGCCAAAAGTGTGGCATTCGGTGGCCCTTCCAGTCAAAAGTAGTGCTCTCGGCAAGTACCATGGAATGGATGCATTCAATGCCTATTGCAGAGTCATAGGGTTCATTACTGGGAAGACAGGGAGCCGACGGAAATCGTTTTCTGCGCGGGGTCTTTTCGGTCTTTTACCCTACGTTTGAGGCTAGGCCTGACAAATGCGTTTCCAACGTTTCCTTTAACAACTTTCTCTTCTAATGCGGTTCACTTAGCGAACCTTCTTCCCCATTTCCGCAACATCACCTAGAGTTTTTATCGCGAACCGTGCTCAAAGACTGCGGGTCAGGGTCGCTGCAGCTGGACTCATTTACAGGGTTTCAGAGACATCTAAAGCCGTCACCGGCCTATGTGACACCGCTCTGTCTGCAGGCTGATCCCGCTCTATCTGCATCCATCAAGATTTGCCCTACAAATTCTCTAGTGTCACAACTGAAAAAGAGGCAAAATGCGCTTTCACAGATCAGCTCTAATACTGGTTTTCTGCGACCATGCGCAGTCCCTCATTTCCCACTTACAAAGTAAAACCGGTTTCGGGTTGTTGCACATCAGATCGGTCTTACATAAACTGCTCGCTACTTTGGCAGGAATTCGCTAGATTCCCCCGTGCGATTGCGAAAATAGCGCCTTGAAACCACTTGGTGGTTTGCATAATGATTTCATATGCATTCATAAATCGATTTAGCTGAATTAAACTGAATAAGCGAAAGGAAGGCTGCTTAATACTGACAGTAGAAGGGTAGAACTGCGGCGTGATTCCTTCGTTCAGATTTCATCCCTGTCGCTCTCGTCTCTCTCTCTCTCTCTCTCTTCTTCTCTCTCTCTCTCCTCTCTAATAATGGTCTGGCTGCGCAGTTCCGCGTTGGTTGGAGGAAGCGGCATTTTCGCATATTCGCTTGTCTTTTTAAGTTCGGGTTCAAGCCTCACTCTTATTGAATGTGTCAAGGCTTCTGAAGATGGAAGCAGCCTCGTGGAGTCACCATGAAAAAGCCTGTCAACCCAGGAGAGGACTTTCCAGATAAATCGACACGTCGATGGGTAGTAGCAGATGTGCACTGTCCTCCCCCACGTGCCCGAACTGCCCCCCATTTCACCTCTCAAATTTTTCACTCTGCTTACCAGGTTCGCTTATCGTGAGTTTGATATATCTAGTTCCTTGTGGGATTGTTCGTTAGGAAAATGTTGAGAGATGGAATGATCGTGCGCTCCTCAGTAGAGTTTATTCTACCAGTTTCGCTCCGGAAAGTTGTAAGGTAAAAGATCTACAAAGAGACAGCATCTCTGAAATGTTTTTGGTGGAAGTG